TATCACAAGTAAGACCATTCCTTTACATTAAAGGCCCCCATCTGCCACGAGGTTCCGACATAACCTCAAACCGGCCACATACCGTTTTAGGAACTACCTACAAATATTTTAATATTAATTCCGTAGGACAAGCTAATATTTACCGTATCAAATAGCTAATGAATAGACTGGATATATTTGGGTAGATTTTTATAGTTACGAAAACATCTTTTGTTATTAAGAGTCAGATTAATACTTACGTGGTATAAGTACGGGTTTGTAACGGATAGTACTATTCGGGGACCTCTTTTTTTCATATACTCATTATTATAATATATATAATTACCGATATATCGGCGTGATAATTTCATATTTTTTTCCCATATTATTTTTTTATTGACATATTTTTATTTCATCTAACCTCCAAAAATTAAATAGCTGTCAGACGAGAATTGCATTTTATTAAGTTCTGACTAAGGACCCGACCCTACTCTCCGGAAATCAAAAAATTTAAGGAGCTAGCAGAAATTACGCTTGGCCCCTTTCATAAGTAAGGGCAGAGCGTAACATCTCGACCGTTTACGGCTTTCACGATCCCAGGTCGAGGCTTATTTCAATTTCGCCGCATGCCTTTTGACTTACATAACGCACCTGCGACCTGGCAAAGGCTGATTGACCGCGTGTTGGGGCCTGATTTGGAACTGAATGTATTCACTTATCTTGACGATGTGGTTATCATAGCCGACAATTTCGAGGAACATTTAAGAGTTTTAGATAGGGTATTTTCGCGATTGAAGGAAGCGAACTTGACTGTGAGTCGATAAGATAAGTCAGAGCTATTATAGGAACATTTTCAGTTTCATAGCGGATTTTGCAACTTTGATGTTCCCAATCACGGGGTCAATCAGCCTAGCTAATCCTCCCAGGCAGAGATGCTTACAGCCAAGAGCAAAACCGTCCAACTTAGCTATATCTAACAAACGTTCTTGTTCAAACCACACCGGCTTCGCCTTCCTGTCTATCGCGAGACATCGCCGTAAACCGAACGTTAGCGACCAATTACCTCTCGATCTAGTCGTCACCTGACCTCAAAAAAGTCGTACTGACCAATCAACAAATTACCCGTGCTAACAAACCAGAATTACCAGAACTCGAATTCGTGAATACCAGAACTATTCGCCACCAGAACTATTCTCAAAAATTAATAATAACGAAGGGTGTTGTCTTCGTCCAGAATACCGTTTTAAAACAAATCGGTGCATCTATTGCTGCCGAAATATGACAGGCACAAATCGATAAATCACGTCGAGAATGTCATGTAACACGCGAATATCAATTCCGAAGTGACACAGTTCCTAAAAAACAAACGAACGAACCCAGGGCTGCAATGAACACAGTAATATTTCCGAATGACAAGCAACGTCCAAAAAAAGAAGAAAAGTTCATTAATCTAACTATTTTAAAGGAAACGTCAAAAATAACATCGAAAATGTTTATTTATTGGTTTTCTACGGCTTACCAAAAACCAAAAGATAATAACAGATTTATTATTAGATTGGGAGAATATATGTAATTGGATGATGTGAATCTATGACAATTTACTAAATGAACTTTGGAAATTTCACTAATAACTTGAGTGAATATTCAAAATACAGGTTCTGAAAGCGATACATGACGAAGAATAAAGAAGGAATCCACTATACAAGGTATGATGTATATTTAGCTACTAAACAAGTACTGAAACAGGGTAGTTAATTCAATGATAGCAGCAAACCTCAAATTTTAGGGTCGTTCAACTAAATGGGCTAAAAATGACACGAACTCACTCTGAAAGAACACAGGGATATAACGAGACGAAGAAAGTAAATAAACACCCTTATTTGGATAAAAAGGTAAGCGTAAACTAAAATTACACATACAAGGGGCCATCAAAAAGTACTTGTCTTAGTATAAAAACTGGATCGTTACACTGTTATGTACACTTACCATGAAGGTCAATGTAAAAAGGGGACAAACGAGGTTACTTCAATGCTCCTGCATTATTTGAATAATATATACTTTCGTTCCCGCAATTTAGTGCTATTCAGCGACGCACATACGTTGATTTCAAGGATTTAGGCGGTCAAAAATCAAATTTTTAAAATGAATTTAAAAATACCACAAGCATACGAGAGCCAAAGGAATGTTCCAGTAACAATATTTTACCATCCCCTCTTGCGAACCTATCTTCGTGCGCGCGCGTAGTTAGTTGAAACTTGGTCGTCTCACGGAGTGCATGTCATTGTTCTTAGCGTCCTCAGTGTAAACATTTAAGCAAAGGTAAATTTTGTGGTGTCCACCTAATATTTTAAAGTTATTTTAATGGATTCGAATAATACAGGTAAGAATCAATATTTATTGATATGTTTAAATGTTTTTTAACGTTATATAATAATATTTATAGAAATTCAATAAAGGGTTGTTTTAAATGAAGTTTTTACTAAATTTTAATGTTATTAGGATTTTTTGTTATATTATCGCGTCTTCTCGGGTAATACTTGTTATTGTATTATATACTTCGTACATTAGGCTAATTAATGACATACAATTTGAGTGCGGATAGGTGCGGATGACCAAATTATGTTTTTTTATGGATTAAAAAAAAAAATGGAATTTTAAATCAAATGTACTTAACTGCAATTTTCTTTATTTTAGGTACACCTGGTACTTCGGGTACAAAAATAGTTAGCCGCAGATATCTTTACGATCTAATGCAACAACATGAATTGCCTAACTTGGATGAAAAACTTAAATTTCTGGAAAATCACCTGTTGTCCTCTTATAGTGATACACCAGATAATCTAAGCAATTTAAAACAAAGATTTGCGTACTTTAAGACCTCAATCAAAGAAAAATGGTCTGAAGCCCATAGAAAAGAAGCAATATTTCTTAAAACCAATGAAGCTTGGTTAGAAGGAACATTTGAAATGTTAGCAAATAAACAAACTCGACTAGGTCGGCCTTCTAAACCATTTGAAGATTGTAGTGAGAGGACTAAAAGAAGAAAAACAGAAGAAATACGTTCTTCGCTTAGTAAAGAAGTAATTGTTCATGCAGCGCAAACAACATTACAGGTTCGAGGAAAAAGGGATGCTTCGAAAATATTAAAAGAAATAACAAATTCTCCAACTCGTGCAGGAAAATACAGAAACGCATACAGAAAATCAGACCAAGACGAAATTACTTCTTTTACACCATTACAAGCCCTAGCCATGTTTGTTGAAGCCGATTTGACCAAGAGACAATATGAAATCATCAGGAATACAAATAAATCATTTTATCCGTGCTACAACCTATTGTTAAAGGCAAAAACAGAATGTTATCCGCCCAAAGATAGCATGACTGTCACAAGTACCTCTGCAGAAAGCAATTTACAAAGCCTAATTGATAATACAGTTAAGCGCTTATCAATGGCGCTAGAAGAAATCCTTTGTACTTTAAAGGACAATGAAAGGAATTCTTTGAAAATTATCTGTAAATGGGGTTGTGACGGATCCCAACAAGCCAAATATAAACAAAAATTCGACGATGACACTGCTTCAGACGCAAATATATTTCTGAGTTCTTTTGTACCACTTCGAATAATGTGTGGCAAAGAAGGCAAAAAAATAATTTGGCAAAACCCAACACCGTCATCGCCTAGATATTGCAGACCAATTCGATTTAGGTTTGTCAAAGAATCTACTGATGTAACAAAGGAGGAAATAAGTTACGTTGAAGAATCTGCCAAGAAGTTAACATCTACTGAAGTAATTTTTCATGGAAGTAAATTCATATTTGAACATATCTTCAAAATGACGATGATCGATGGTAAGGTGTGTAATGCTGCAACAGATACAAAATCAACAAGTCGGTGTTATATATGTGGAGCAACATTTAAAGACTTTAACAATCTGTCCCAAAAGTATACAACTTCTAAAGCTATTGAATTTGGTCTATCTATACTACACGCCAGGATTAGATTGTTCGAAAGCGTTTTGCATCTGGCGTATAAATTACCAGTAAAAAAGTATCGAGAGAGGAGAACTAACGAAGAAAGGGAGTTAGAAGTACTTACAAAAAAACATATTCAAGAAAGATTTCGAAAAGAAACTGGATTGCTAGTCGACATGCCAAAAGCTAATTTCGGGAATACCAATGATGGTAACACTAGCAGAAGATTCTTCGAAAACCCTCAATTAGCTGCCGATATAACAAAAGTTGATTTTGAATTAATATATAGACTGAAGGTTATACTGGAAACTATCTCAAGTGGTCATAAAATAGATGTCCAGCAGTTTGATGAATATGCCATGGCTACTGCGAAATTGTATGTCGACCTATATGGATGGCACCCAATGACTCCGACCATGCATAAAATATTAATTCATGGTGCAGCTATAATTGAAATTGCTTTATTGCCCATAGGACAGTTGTCGGAAGAGGCAGCAGAAGCCAGAAATAAGCATTTTCGGTTATATCGTGAAAACTATGCTAGAAAGTTCTCAAGGGAGGACTGCAACCTCGATATATATAATAGATTATTACTAAGTTCAGACCCATTATTAAGTAGCATGAAACAAACAAAAAAAAGCCTTAAACTAAAATCATTTTGCCCTGAAACAATAAATATGTTACTTCCAGGTGACCCGAATATCGAATCAGATATTTCAGACACAGATCAAGATTGATCTATAAACAAATAATCAAATCTTTTAAAATATGTATTTGTATCTAAATTAATAATGTGTAATCAAAATATTTATTTGTTCGTAAAATTTGTCATTAAAAAGGTTTTTTTTAAACTTTGTCTTTTTTTTCTCATTTTTTTAAGGTTTTGGCGGGAAAATATGCTAATTTGAGAATGGGCAATACTTTCCAAAAAGATATGTTATTTAAAGCCAAAATACACTGTAAAATAATTTTGACCGCCTAAATCCTTGAAATCAACGTATGTGCGACGGATACCCAGACCAAAATAAGAATTATGTCATTTCCTTTATATGTTAGTACACTGTTTAAAGATATTCGACAAGGTTGAATACATTTTTCCCATGAGAGGACATTCATATTTATCGAATGACCAAGATTTTTCATTGATAGAAAAGAAAAAGAGAAAACTTGGGAAGGCTGAAATTCCGGACGACTGGGACAAGCGTATTCTTAATTCTCGGCTACATTCTTCACCTTTTAATTTGGTAAAGGTCAATGTCTCTCAGATATATGATATTAAAGCAGTAACTGATCCATTTTCCCTTAAAAACGCTAAACCACCTGTCAAAATAAAAGCTGTTCGAATGATAAGAATAGAAAAAAATTCACCATAAGTTTTTCTAAAAGATAGTTACCACGGCCCATGGAAATCCAGCATTATACGTAACAAGGTGCCTATTCCTGAAGGATTACAACTTATTATGATGGACCTAACCAGATAGCTCCAATCAAAATAGAGAACTTGAAAAATCTTATCGGATTTCTTGAAAATCCAGAAAATAAAGTATTTTATGAAAAAATATTTCTTGAGAATAATAACATGACTAGAATAGACGTAGACCTCGATAATGAAGATAATATCAGTGGCTTTGAAGATTAGACTGTAAAGCTATTTTATTTTTAATATTTTGTAAGCAATAAACGGGTTTCATAAAACATTTTTTTTTGTTTCTTATAAAAATAACACATGTCCCTTTAATTCTGGTAAAAACAACATAGGTCCAATTGTTTCTTTTTTTTCTACAGAAAAAAAAATGGTTAGACCAGATAACAGCCAATAGTAAAAACCCTTAGGCCCCTAAAAATGTATCTTAATAATTCGCGGGTGCGCGTGTAAAGAGCGATAAGTCAGATTTTAGTGAATTTGGGGTTAAGTCAGGAAAGTAATAATAAAATGCTTCTTCGTGTTTTGTGCATAAAGAGATAAGCCAGCGCGTCAATTTAAAGGTGTTGTGGTGATATGTCAAAGGAGTTATGTCAGTATAATATCAAAACTCGGCGAGTAAAAAGGGTTAAGTGGAAACACATGACATGTCTGTTCTGCGCAAAGCATTTTGTCGCGTGTAAAACGAGTTAAGTCTGACTTAACTCTCTTCGCACCATTATTCAAGACAGTTATCGCTTTTTGCACAAGAAAATATTGAGGTTATGATAGTAGTGTTGTTATCAAAGTGTTGATGGTTTGTTCAATAAACTTTACTAATTAACTTTAGTAATAAACAATGTCTTCTAGGAGTTGAAAAATCATAGATATGGTTAAAGATATGACTTTTGCAGGGTTAGTTTTAGAGTGAAATAAAAATATAATACAATGCTTTGAAATTATTTTTTACGGACGCGGTTGCAACTGACAGATTGTTGTCGGCAGAAAGTATTTTGGAAAAATTGCAAGATCCTTTAACTTACCTCTTCTTGCTTTTTTGAAACACGTACTTCCTCTATTTAATAACTGCAAGAAAGAGATGCAATCAAGTGAACCGAAATTATTTGATTTATATAATCGAATGACGGTTCTATACAAAACTTTTTTAGACTTTTTCATTAAAAGAGAAATAATAACCAATGTTCCATTACATCAAATAGACGTTAGCAACGCCACTGCTCAAATAGAAGCTCCAGGCGAGAATTTCTTATAGATGGTCAAAAAACAAGTGATTATCCAAACCAGCCGCTAGGTTCAAGAAGGGGCATTGAGACTGATTTACGTTTATTTCGACGGTTCGATCCGGATAGCCACTCAGGCGGCTTGAATTTTGAATCCTAAATATCAAGTGTTTATTTCAAGGATCAACAAGGATTAGTATAAGGAACGAGGTAGAGGCCATAAAACTAAAAAAAGAAGAACAATCATATCTAACCTCACTTTTTTGGCATGAATCCCCGTATCTTTTGGGCGTGGGTTTGAGTGTTTCGAGTTGTTTTATATTGGTGATTTTATTTTTATTTTTTGTGGTTATTAGCGTTATATGAAGAAGAGACGAAATATATGATCAGAGGAGGAAACCATTTTTTTCTTCTTCTATTAAAGGAAAAAAAAATATTAGGTATTCTGAATGAGAAAATATTTAGGGCCTCTGAAGTGTACAAAGCTCTGGAATCAGAGATGCAAAAGAAGGGAATCAGCAAAATGTCACGTAGGAAGAAAACCAATGGAAAACCTAAAAGTTAAGGCTTTTTTAAATTAATAAAAAATAATATTGTTTTGCACCATTTTGAAGCTTATGGGTAATTATTTTTTACAGCCTAGTACTATAAATAAATAAAGTATTAGTACAATAACTTTCTGTGCAATTTTATTATTACCGACAGAAACGTTATAAATTTTTCGATCTTTATTTGTAATTGTTATTAAAAAAAATAGGACATCTTGATAAAAAAATTGTTAACTTAAAAAACTACTTAACGGGCAAAATGGGGTAGGGTAAAACAAGGTATTATTTTGCTACCAAAGGTATCCTATTTTACCCTACCGCAGTTTATTTATTTTGTGTAACTATTGGTTTTGTTTTCAGATGGTTTATAATTAAAAAAGAAAAACTAACGGCCAAAGTTGGTCCACAGAGAGCATGCAACAAGCAGTAAATACTGTAATAAGCCGTGAGATGGGTTATCACCAAGCGTCCGTTTCATTTGCTGGTCCTCAGAGTACTTAGAACGTTATGTGAAGAAGCAACGAGATAACCCAAATACCGTTGTTTCAAAAAGATTAGTTTAATGCTTTGTTTCAGAGATACAGAGGGTGTTAAAAAAGTATTAACCAATTTCAATAAAATTTTCAGTTTGTTGGAAACATAATGAGGTATCTTTTGAAACTATTAGTCAGTAAAAAATGAGAAAAACTGAACGTGGCAGATTTTCACATTTTTATTTAAAAAACAACTTAAAAGAAGAAGTTGTATTTCAAAACAATTGTCATGTGTAATTTTTATTTTTTTAAATAAAAGTGTGAAAATCTACCAAGTTTGGTTTTCTCATTTTACCAATACAACTTTTTTTACTTGTTTTTTCCATCTCATACTACTACCCTCTTTATAATATATATTAGTAGATCGTTCAAAAAATTATGCATTTTCTATAGTTTCTGCTTTAGATGGCATTTTGATATACCTTGGAAGCAAAACTTTAATCACTGCATTCACAAACTCATGCACAATGTTGTGGACAGTGGACTTATGAATACCAAAAGCATAACCTACATCTGTATTTACAAAAACTTTCTTTTCAGCATATGAAATAGTCCTGGCATTATTTAAAAAGTTCTCCTTTGGGCGTATTTCTTTTTTTAATGTTTCCACGATAAATGTAAATGTGTCTTTTTCCATGCGAAAATTTTTCAACCAATCTTTTGAATAATATTTTTCCACCAATCATAGCTTCGTTTTTTATTATTCGAACGTTTCCGTCTTTTCGAATTCTCAATGAGTGCATTGGTTATCAACAGCTGAGAACTAAGCAGTTGTATCTTCAGGCTTTTTAAATAATTATATAAATTAGTTTGCAACAAAATTTAAAAATTTAATAACTTACTTATTCCTTTCGCGTTTCCATTTCAGTAATACCACGTTTGTATTTGAAATAATACTGCTAGTACACATAAAATACATGGCAGAAATGACTGCAATTTCTTTTTGTTTTAAGCAAATAATTTAAAACAATGTGTCAAAAAATATTTACAAAATGATTATACAAAAATACAATATTTGACCTAACCTCCAGAAGTTTTGAAAGCCGAATTTGACATTTATATAATTTAAAAACATAAATGAAGTTTGGCACAAAAGATGGATCCGGATTGAAAATGGATTAATCGTTTATTTCATACATTTGAAGTGGCTTAACTCAAGTCAATCCAACAAATTGTTTGGAGTGGATTAATTTCCCAAGCCGCCTGAGCGCTTAATATCGACTGTTTATATCGGGAATTTAAGGTGGATTTAACAAGCCGCTTGAGTTTCTATCCGGATCGAACCGTCGAAATAAACGTAGTAATTGTGTTTTTACAATGGATTAACTTTTTAAGTGAATTAAAAAAAATACATATTAAATTTTCATGGTCTTTATTCTTTTCTCACATTCCTATTTTCCTTCCGTCAGTTCAGAGTATTTTCTTGTTGTTGGCCAAAGCTTGAGCTCGAAGTCCTATAAATAAATTTAAAAAAATATTTTAAATGTTTAAACTGTTTATAGAGATACAATACAATACTTAATGGTATAGTTCGAATCCACTGATTTATGACAATAAAAAAAAGCTTTAAAAACAGCAAAGGATATCGGCAATAGAGCAAAGCTAATGACTAGCGTCTAGGGACAGAAATTCCACTTTTCCGAAACGACAGCCCACATTCGCGACAGTTTGACGTTTGGCAATTATTTAAATTGCTAAGTTGTGTATTTGCCAGTTGATGTTGGTACAGTCTTTTTTGAATATCTGATAATTTTATTCATAGATTTTGTTAAAATGTTGTGAGTATTTCGTAATGTTACGTTTTCTAGATTCTATAACTATAAAGAACACGCAAAACATTTCATCCTGGTAACCAAATCCAAGATGTAAAACAACTATAAATATTTCAGCTAATTTTAATGAATTACCAACCCATAAACCTAAAGACAAAGTTATGGCAAAGTCTACGATGTGTCAAAAAAAATTTGCTAAACGTTACAGTTTAAAGGATCACATGAAGAAATTCTGGTTTTTCTACTTCTATTCAAAGTTTTATACTTTGGTGGCGGTGTTCAGGTATTGTAGTTTGTGTAGTTTTTTAAATCTACTATTAAAAGAAAATAAATAACATAATAATAATAATAATAATAATAATAATAATAATAATAATAATAATAATAATAATAATAATAATAATAATAATAATAATAATATGTAATTTATTTTAATATTTAGAAAGAAAATAAAAAATTAAAGATACTTCAATTTAATGTTTTTTTCTGTATTTTCTCTTTTATCCTAAAATCTCAAAATAAACAAATTAAATGTGGGCTATTCTTTTATAATATTAAAAAATAGGCAACTTGAGAAACTTCAAACTTGTGTACTGTTGTAGTTATTATTTGGTTGCACAAACAACACCCATGTTTATTATCTTGCCCTACTTCCTACCGACCTACCTACTTATTTTTGTTTGGTTTTCAGCTGAGAGCCTTAGCGAGAAGAAAAACTATAAATACAAATGTGATATTTGTGACAAATACTTCAGCCATTTAAGGCATTTTAAATACCACAATTAGACACTAGCACCAAATTTTTAAAATGTCCAATATGTTATACAGATTTCGAAAAAAAAAGGTATACTTAAACAATTTGAAGAAATCCATGAGA